GGGAGAGAGAGAGAGAGAGAGAGAGAGAGAGAGAGAGAGAGAGAGAGAGAGAGAGAGGATCGAGTCTTATTTTTAATCATATGTAGAATATGTTCGTCAGATTGATGAATCATATTCGTGTGTCAAAATGTCATGTACTTAAAAATGACAGTATCAATCGGGCGACGATGTAGGAAACGATGGATAATCTTTCACTCTTGGCAATTGAAATGGAAAAATTAATTATTATAATAAAAAAAAAGAAAAGTAACCGAACAAATAAGAATAATTTCAAAAAATAAATCCAAATAAGGAAATGGCACGTTTTCGTGAAGATAGATGATGCGACAAATCCAAAAATTAGATCAAAAGTTTGTTCTCTCTTCTCTTTTTCTTTCATCCTATATACGAAAGATTTCGAAAATTAACATCAAGTTATACGCGCTTGGGTTTTTCCATTCAAGCCAAGTGAGAAATAATTTTGACAAGGATAATCGACAATGTCGTGTGGTGAAATAAATAAAAAGAGACCAGTCCTTGAATGGAAAAACATTTATTTGCTACTTTTTTCTTCATCATCATCATCATCATCATCATCATCATCATCATCATCATCATCATTATCATCCTCATCCTCATCATCATTATCATCATCATCATCATCATCATTATCAATAAAAAAACAGACTGATTACAGATAGGTATACGATATGAAAACATGCTAGACGAGTAAAGAAAAATAGAGAGACTGGACGATAAAAACAACGTCCCTGATGATCTAGTGCATAGGAAGAAGTTGGCAGTGTCGTTACGAGATATCAATAACGATAAATCTCACTTGATTATTATGCCTAATGAAAACCGAAGTTTTCCTTTCGAAGTTTCGAATTCGAAATTACAGATCATGGATAAGTAGCAAACTAGACTTCACCTTTCCTATCTAAGCTTTGGTAACCTTTTCACGTCTCTAGACGCTCTCTTGTGGCATGTATATTTTATATATAAGGCATTTATTAAACAAAAAAGAAATCAAGCTATTAAATTGTGAAAGCTGATCGAGTCATCAACTGTCAGACTACTTCTTCCATTTCACCAGTATCGTTAAATGTATTAAAGACTAATACGTATACTTGGATTAATTATTGAGTAAGAGAATTGGTCGAAACTTCATAATCATACAATTGATTAAATGATGAAAATGTCAATGACTAAAATAAAAGAACACAACATTATTTTTAAACGCTAATTATAATTAACAACACGTTCAATGCGAGCAAAACAAGTATCGCGATAATTTTGTTAATGGTATCGAACGCAGTACATTTCATGCTTGTTCTTCTACAAATTGTAGAGAACATTTAACGCTCCATACTTGGATTTTGATGATTAATGAGCAACAAATTGTAAATATTCGATATTTTGGATACAATAGAAAAATTAATTATGAGATCTCTAATCATATACGAAAATAATTAATCAATAATCTTCAGATCATTATTTATATATTGAGGTTATACATATGTATATATATAAAACTATACATATATGTATATACTTTATCAATATATTTATATTTAAAAAATAGTAGTTACATATCGTACACTTGCAAAAAAGTGACACAAGTAAAAAATATATAATTTATCAAAAGAAAGAAAATGACATATTTCTAAAATAATTATTTATTATAACAGTATTAAACATAAGTTAATTTAGAACTAATAACAAATTTCTTGTTTCAAGTTCTCTAGAAATAATATAGATATTCATTTTTGTTATGATACTATCAATGTTACATTACCCTTAAAACTGTTCATTGATTTGTGACATTTTTTTTATTTAAGAAATATTCAGTTTTCCTTATTATTAAAAGCCGAAGTATTTAGAATACAATTTGTACATAATACAACATTTTAAAAACTTCAACTTGCGTCATTTTTTTCTGCGAGAATGCAATATAGATTACTATTTTTAACATAATATACAAAATGGCTATTAAATGAGTTAGTTGATTAACATTTGGTTTTTACTGTTATGTTTTCAAGACGATGTAAAATTACAGTAAGAACGTAGGATTAGCCGACAAAATATTATCAATATCTATCTTTTTATTTTATTCACTCTTAAATATATAAATATATAAAGAGGGAAGAACATAACCTAAGCAGAACTTGAAAGGAACTGTAAAAGATATTAGTGAATTTTTATCATTTGATTGTACAGTATCGTAGATTTTATGACAAGATATTGCAAATACTCTCATATGGAAAGTAATTATATTACATATTTAAAAGAACTAGACATGATAACAAAAAGTAAAATAATTTATGTATAACATTAATCTTTCTTTACTTTGATGTATTACAGGATGGCATTGTATAGTGTTTCAAATGTCAAATAAAAAAAATAAAAAAGAAAAAACAAAATTTAAAGAATAAATTAAATATCATATAATAAAAATGATTATCTATGACACTGTGAACAAACTTTGAATGATAAATGTTATCAGTCTATTAATTTTAGGTCAGTCTAAATAATCAAAAGATCATCAAAGCGTAAGAATAAATAAATTATGAAAAATCATTAAAGCCATATATTTCAATATACTATCACTTAGTTTATAACTTGTGCTGCGCGCAATTTGTTTTGTTTTGCTATCAAAACTACTTTGAAAGTCAAGTAAATTTCGTTAGATAGTATACGACAATCCGAAAATTCCAAGACGAACAAGATGCAGAAACGTTTCATGGTAATAAAATCTACTAATATATTAAAAATAAAAAAAGAAGTAAAATGTATAGCAACGTATTATATCGCAAAAGAAATTAACTATAAAAGCACATTTGATGTATATACAATTGTAAAAAGTGATTGTCAAAAATAATTTTAAATACAATAATTACCGTTAAAATCATTTAAATATTCCTAGCAAAAATGTAATTCTTATTTTCTTTTATTTTTTGATGATACCGTATTTCATTATATTATTATACTGTTACTACAATTGCATTTGTGGCAGTGTTAATAATGTTAATATATATTAATTATTGTAATTTGGTATGTGAATGCTATCAACTGTGAACGTAGAACTTAAATAATAAAGACAAAAACAAAATTAACGTTGTTACGTAATATCATATGCGGCAAGAATATGCGCATTGAAATCTTGCGACGTGCTTCTCAAGAGTTAACATCGATTCTGTGTGAAGCCGCAAGTATATAAAATTATCAAGTCATATATGCTTACATGTACGCTATATAGTAAAAAAAATCCTCATGCTCTCTTCAGACATTTCGTGTCAGCCATTACAATCCGATCTAATTAATTTCACTACTATTTGGGGTTTAAGGCAATCTTGTTTGTTCGAAAATGGCCAAGACTTCAATGTAATTTGCATTAATAATTCGTCAGTGTAGAGGACAAATGCATCCATTATAAATGTTGTTATATAGTATTGTATGAAAATAAATATATACATATATATACAGGGTGATAAAGAAGCTTGATCACAAAGTTTTGTATTTACCAAATCATTAATAACGTATATTTAAAAAAACTTTAGAGTATTAGTTACGTCTTATTAAATATTTAAAAAATAATTATATATAAATAAGAATAACATATATTTCTCAAATGATCACCTTTATCTTTAAATGACACTTTATACTTTAAGGTGCTTCGGAAACACATCAATAATGACTTTGCACGATATAATTTAATTATATATATATATAATTATATATATATATAATATATATATATATATATAATTATTTAATTATATTTTTAACGCTGATTTCTAACAGACATTAAAAGATGTTATGGTAAAATTTTTTTCTATGGCATTACAATCCAAATCAAGTTTTGGCTTTCTCATCTGGAAATGAAGTTTCAAAACTAATTTTTCTCCGGAATTACATTGTTAGCCTAATGTATAATCCCCAACTTGAAGGATCGATGTATATATCTATAGATATATGGGAACTACCATTTTTAACGCCGGCTCCAAACAGCGGTAGCAAATATACTCTCAGTGGTTCATAGCAAAGGTGCTAAAGATATTCTGGGTATCTTCCGGGAAGTAATTATCCGTAAAAAGATGCACGGCTATTCTTAATGCGTTCTCGTAGCACTTTAAAACTTATCTTAAAGCTAAAGGTAACCTTTGCATTAATTTTTAGTATTTAATAAAATAACAGTGTTTGATTTTTGTAAATATACGTTACTAATGAATTGATAAACGCAAAATTTGTGGTTAAACTTTATCACTCCATATAAGATTACGCAAAACACTCAGTATAAAAATTATTTTTTTCGTAGAACATATTTCGCTCCTTGATTATCGAAATCTTGGCATTGGTTTAATGTAGAGTATATAAGAGATCGCTTAGTACGTGATGTAAGAGAATGCGTTGTTTTTCGGAGTCTGTAAATCTATCCGTTTTTAAATACAACAGACGAAAATATCAAGAAGGATACCCTTAAGAATATCCAAGTTACCCTGTGGTTTACCATGAGCCAGATAATTGTTAGATTTCGTGACGCTTACTGCGTCTAGATCGTCTCTGATTATCCATTCTATATAGCGATCACGTTTCTCCACTTCGGTGGCGTTCTCCAGAGATTGCAAACCGTCTGTACAACCTACGTGCTGCAGATTCTGTAAGTACAGTTTGCCAAGTTGGCTGATGGAATATCCGATCTCTAAGCTGTCTTTATTGCCACTCATGGTTTCTTGCGTAGCGACACTTGCGACAGGATCTAAAAGTCTCGATTGCACTAGTTCCGCAGCATTAATAAGATTATCGGATTGCACTGATGGTTCGCTCGCGCTCAAATCATTCTGCCTTATATTCCTTTCCGCGATATTTGCATTTAAAAGATTATTCGAATCTGCTGTCATACGAAATGTACTCTCCTTAAGCATTGCATTTTTAGAATGACCGATAAAATTTTGAATAAAGGCAATATTTGCCTCATTGAAAGAACCGAGATTTGACTGGACGGGAGCACGATCAGTTAGCGCACTTGGTGCACGTTCAAAAAAATCAACATCTTTCTGATACCTCTGTAAAAAATATTCGCACTTTTCCTGATCGGTCTGAGGATACTGATTGTTAATCGAGCATTCTTCTTGTTTTAAGAAGTTCTGATGTTTCTCGCGCTCCCTGAGTAAAAAATGTAGACTTCTACCAACTCTTTGAAAGAAATTAGGCCGCTTACGCGCTTTGCTCGCTGCCATTAAATTAATGGATTTTTTTGTTAATTTTTGCGAGGAATCGAGACTTCTCTGTTTACCATGAAAGAATGTTTTTGGCCGCTCTTCTGGCAAAAGATCCAGGCTCTTACAATCCGCCGTGGGTAGATCAATGCTTCTCTCGAGCGATTCTAAACTTCTATGCGTTTTTTCCTTGTTACGAAAAGAGAAATTTCTACGTTTATTAGTGGAAGCTTCCTGCAACAATTCGCTGCTGCTTTTCTTAAAAATCTCACCTTCCTTCTCGAGAAATTCTACGTTTACCGAATCGCGACGCGTCTCATAAGCCGTAGTGAGACGTCGTGCACCACTCATTGTTGGACACTTGAGTTTTTTGTCACCATCGTAATCAGCATAGTCTTTCTCTTTATCCAAGCCACCGAAGCAATTCATCGAGCCGCCTGAGGTCGCCGCGACATCATCTCTATCGTCCGTCATTCGTCGAATGCAATTCGTCGAATCATCTGTCTCTAGATCCTCAAACATCACGACCTCACGATCTACGTCTTTCTCAGTTTTATGCCCATGAAAAAAATAACTCTGTTTATCGAGTTGACGGGACGTCGTGTTTGGACTCCTCTCACGTGGTCTACTTAACACCGGTTGATAATAATCGCGCGATGTGGTCGCGGGATTTAAATCGACGGTACAATTGAGATCTAATTCCCCGCTATGTCCTAAATTGAGACTGGTCAGGTCTAGAGAAGCCGCTACGTCTGACGGCGGTGGCGGCGCCGCTCTACTACTCGGTGTAGTTAACTTGAATGTACTAAATTGACATGGATTTGCCACGCGTGTCGCGGCAACGGTTTCATTGCAACCAGGCGTGGGCGAATGTCCGACTGTCACATTACGTTGCGTTTTTCGTTCGGCAATAGCGAAATTCTGACTTGCGCAGAATTGTTGGTAGAATTGTATTTTACCTTGAAGATCACTCTTGTCCTGATTGTCCTGGTCGCCACGATCCATCTCGCGTTTCTGCCGGATCGTTCGCATACCAGTATTCGGTCCAAGCGATGAGCTTACCGCCGCTACGGACGCATTCGGCAAACATTGTCGCGTGTAGGGTCTAAAATTAGAAAAAATATAAATTTTATAATAAATAAATAAATAGAGTATCAAATATATAAAATGGAATATACTATAAAAAATATTCAATGAAGTACATCAATGGAGCAAGAGATAATTATTTAGCAAGATTTAAAGAGCTATAATTTTTCTACTTATTTCTAAACAGACCACAAACTTGTTTTAAATAAAATAGATTTAGAAAATCTACATTTTGAATTCATAACATTTTTTAATAAAAAATTTTGTGAATCCAAAATGTTAGTCCAAATTGTGAATCCAAAAGTATTAACGAAAAGTATTTCTGTAAACTATATTTTATTACTCATGCTGCTCGAAATGGCCGTTTCTTGATTCTTTGCTATAATTAAAAATAGAGTATGTGATCGTGATATTTATAAGCATGGAAACGGCAGTATGGATGTGAAGATGTTATCACTAATGAATTGTGTAAAAAAATTTTTCAAAAAAGTGGCTATTCTTTAACTAAAAAAAATCATTAACTGACCTCGATCGATGTTCCTGATCATTGTTGGTCCCTGAAGGTAACGCAGCATTAGACGGTTGTGAATGCATAGGCGCTTGCTGTGCAGAAGGTAACGTCGGTTGTCTCGCATTACCAAATTTCAGCATATTCCAATCGAAAACATAATCGTATGTAAAGCCTTGACCATGGAACAGTGTCCGGAAAAGTTGTCGAAGATGCGAATAATCCGGCCTTTCTTCGAAACGTAAGTCTCGACAATACCTTAAATACGACGCAAACTCCACTGCAATAATTAATAAAATGTTTATTTCTTATATATATGTATAGTATATATAATGTAATATATAGTGTAACAATAGATTTGTAGTCAATTTAGAATTAATTTTTGCTCGACAAAACTATCAAAATATCAATAATTTTTGACTTAAAAACAAACACGATTGAAGAATTTTTACGCAAACTAAATTTCAAAGAACAAACTCTTTTATAAAATTATATTGTTTGGTTAAATTCACGAGGAAATGGCATGATGGGAGGAGGGAAGAAAGAAATAGAGAATCACTGATTTTAATCAAACTTGGTAAGAATAGAGAAGTCCTTAAAAAAAAAATATATATATATATATCTCAAAGAATTATGAAAAGAATAATTAATACCGAAGAATTCTTAAAAGGATATTCAGAGATTCTGAAATACTTCGAATATATAAAGCATACTATTATTTATTAAAAAAAACTTACCAGGATAACCTTTGCAAAGCTCTTCTACAGGAGTAGACATTTTCTTCTCGGAAATGCGTTCATATTTTTGTCTTTTGGTTGCTGCTTTTAAGCCCTGCCAAGGTAAACTACCCCTATTAAAGTACATGAGGACATAGCCTAGAGATTCAAGATCGTCCCGTCGTGATTGCTCAATTCCTAAATGCGTATTTATACTCGCGTATCTGTTAGAATAGTAAATAAATTAATCAGAATGATATTATACAAATATATTATATAATTATCAATAACCAACCTGGCAGTTCCCGTCAAATTTTTGTTTTCTCGATAGGGTATGTGTTTGTGTGTGCGCCCATCACGATACTTTTTAGCTAATCCGAAATCTATAATGTAGACGAGGTTTCCCTTTTTTCCCAAACCCATCAGAAAGTTGTCTGGCTTAATATCACGATGAATGAAGTTGCGACTGTGAATATAATCTGTTCTACTTATCTGTAGAATAGAAAAGTTAAAACACTGTTATTGTAACTGTATATTGTTTCAGGCACATGCTTCATGCTTCAAAGATCATATGCAGAAATATAAATTTTTTATTTAATATTTTATTTATTATTGCATGTATTATACAATACATGCTAAATTAGTAACATTATTTTCGTTTGTAAAATATTTGTTCTAAAAATGCAACATTTTGTAATATAAAACTAATGCCTGTATCCCTTATTGTTAATTTTTAATTTATATTTTCAAAATGATATTTAAAAATGTGTTTATAAATATACATATACAAATCATATTATATATAAATATATATATATATATTTTATATACATGCGATCAAACAAAAAGAACTGATTACTCATAAAACTTCAAATACTATATTTGTACAATAATTTTAATGTGCTTCCAACATTTATTGGAAGATGACACAAAAAAGTATTTAGCAATTTGAAACAAAGATTCCAAAGATCGTTTGAGGCATGACGGAAGTAGTGAAATCGTTATATAAATGCACACATACAAAATGGAAACTACTTTAAAAATGAGATACAGCCCAAACTTAAATTAGGTAAATATTCAAATTATATTTATTATTAGTCCTAGTTTCTTTTTGACTGATATACATATATGTGTATGCATATTTAATTATTTATAAACACATTAGAAGTGTCAAATGTTATAAAAATCTTAAATGTTCTAAATATTTTTGACAGGAATGTGTACAATATTTTTCTGTAAAATAAAGTAATAAATAATTGAATATAATCATATTATAAACTTTAAACGTATGGTAAAGCATTTGGTAAGCACTACTGCATATATACATTGAAAAAGATCCATGTAAGAAAATAAAAATTAAAAAATAAACGAAATAATATTTAGGACTCTTAATATTCAAAATACAAAAAAAATACACATATATAGGATATATAAGAGTCAAATAATTATAAACTAAGAAAAATAAAAATTAGTTTTAGCTTTTTAGAGTGTAGCCATAAATACACAACCCTAATAGAATAATGTCTTGTAATGTATACTAATAAAATAATGATATAAGATTAAGAGATTCTAAAAAGTAAAATACAATTTTTATTATTAATCAAAATATCTATTAAATTAATTACATCAGAATAACACAAAAAACAATGGAGATATTTAAAAAATAGTATATTGCTGTATATATAATAATATATTTCATTTTGATGTAAAAAATAATTATCGATTTGTGTTATTCATATATACAATATCTAGATAAAATAAACTTTTATAATAAAAAGAATATTTACCAATTGATCGGCAAGGAGTAGAACTGTTTTCAAAGAAAAACGTCTCGAACAAAAATTAAATAAATCTTCCAGTGATGGTCCAAGTAACTCCATCACCATCACATTATAGTCACCTTCCGAACCACACCATTTTATGGTTGGTATTCCAACTAAAATATTAAAAAATAGATTATACTATATGATGTAATGTTCTAATAATTAAAAAAAAAATAAAATAAACTTAAAAATTATAATTATAGTCTAGCGTAATCACATTGGAATATCACACTTCCTTCCTTTCACTTTCTCCAAAAAGATTATGCAACTGTACCACTAATGAAATAATCAGAGTATAAGTGTTACTTAACTAATACAATAAAAGTTTCATAATGAATGTTATTATAACTTTTATTAATTATACATTTCAAATTATAATAAGCTTTTCTTTATATAATCTTTTTCTCTAAAAAGTTATCAACTTTATTATCAATTTTTAATAAAAGACCAATTGACAAACAATTTAGAATAATTAAATATTTGTTTTCTAAATTAAAAAAACCTCTGTATTATTTGTTTCTTTGTTATTTGCTAATGTCACAAAAAGATGTACAAGCGAGTAGATATCAGAGATACACAGCTGTGTGTCACGTTGGGGGGATGGAAAGAAAAGATATTGGATCAGCTGTCAAATAAATGAGAACGCGGATACAATTCCTTGCATAGAATAAACATTCAATTGATAATACGGAAATATTGACTTACCACCTCCTTGCATCATCTTGTAAAACTTGGACTCTATGTGCAGCTGCGGATGTCGTGTTTTTATGCATTCTAACTTGATAGCGACTTCCTCACCCGTAGAAATATTGGTACCTATGAATAAAGGAAAAGTTGCAGAAGGCACATCCACGCGTGCACGTATACATTCACATGGTGCAATGCATAAAGAAGACAAAGGTGAGCGGAGAGAAATGAAAGATAGAAATAACGGAATAAAAAGAGAAAGAAAGGAAAGTGGGCATGAAACGTTACAAGTTAGCAGTTTCACGCTCTCCTGCGCGAAATATACGAAATCTACTGTATACGGTCATCCGCAGACGAGGAGAACGGGAAGGGTGAAGGGGGGAGAGAGAGGCAGACGGGGCATCGAGTGGCTTGACGAGGAACTTGCGAGCTCCGCGCGGACATGCGGTTGACGAGCGGCGGAGAGGGGTGGGAGGAGCTTACCTAGGTAAATGTCGCCAAAGGAGCCGCTCCCGATTTTCCGTCCTAGCCGGTACTTATTACCAACACGCAGCTCCATCGTACACAAGCCCGTGCGGCGCACCCCGATGGAAGTATCACGGTCGCGGTTGCAATCACGGCGGCGGTGGCGACGGCGACGGCAAAGTGACTAATATATACACACACACCAACAATCCAGCGTAGGGTAGGCAGCGCGGTACAGCAGCAGCTGACCCGACGTGAGCGTGGAATACTAGGATGCTCACTTTCGCGACTCGCACTACGGGCGGCGCGTGCTGGACTGACTGGTTCGCTCGCGCGCGTTACTGGCTCGATGGCAACAATACCTCCATGCTCGTCGCACAGAAACCCAGACCGATTGATCTTGAACCTACGGGCATTTCTTCGTGGCTAGTCGCGGCGGTGAACAGAATAGCGCACCTCGTTGCGATGGCGGTCGCGCTGATGGCGGCGGCGCTGCGCTCGCGTTTGCCTCTGTCGCTTTCTCGCTGTTGTGTTGACGGCGCTGCTGCCAGGGCGCCAGACAAGGCAGATTTATGCAGGAACGGAATCACGACGGAGATGACGGCACCAAGAGGAGTTGTCCTACAGGAGTGGGAAGGGGAGGAAGAAGGCGGTCGATCAGTCGTGGCAAAATTCGACAAAACGTGCCACGCCACGCGTAGACACCTTGTTTATGGTGTGTAGCTGTGCGAGAAAACGGAGTAGGAAGAAAGATCGAATCTTGTAACAAATGTCGATTCGACTGTAAGAGCGCGAGTAAGGACCAATGAGAACGCGCGTCGCGGTAAGGCATCTGCCCAAGGCGTCCAAGCGGACCGGTGACGAAGCACAGCCAAAGATGCACCCAATCACGACTGCGCCCTCACCGTCCTTACGACGTTTTGTGACACACGTTCTTTTCATAAAGACGACCATTGATCAAAGGAAGGTAAGAAAGGAACGATTGTCGCTCGAAGACAACGCCCTCGTGTAGTACTCGTGAACAATTGGCTACTGGTATGTTCTTTTTGGCTGAACTTTTGTACCAGCAGAGAGAAACCTCTGAGAGCGGCCATGGCGGCCTTTTTCCTGTAAATCCTGTAAGGGCGGGTTCACACCTTGACGGAAAAACGGAAAGCGGAAAAGCAGTAGCCAATCAGGTAGTCGACTTTCTGTTAGTTTTGTACTATTTACTACTAGCGTGAGTTCTGATCGGTTAACTGCTTTTCCACTTTCCGCTTTTCCGTCAAGGTGTGAACCCGCCCTTACACTAGCGGCACCAACGTCCATTTTCGAGCTGCGAGACTACGTATGTACCACGAGATCGAGCGAGACAGCGAGACGCGCTGTACGTAGTTCTCGCAGCTCGAAAATGGACGTTGGTGCCGCTAGTGTAATGCCTGGTTTATGTTTACGTTTCGGCTTAATCCTAAAGCCCATTCTACGGCGTGTTCAGATTCCCACCCGAGTCACAGTACATAAGTACAGTAGTTTCACTCCGTGTCGGTACCTTTGATCTATGTGTCCTACAGTCAGCCATGTGTTGGTTGTGCGAGGCCTTTGTTTTCACTGCACACATCGACACCACAGTGACACAGTATCCATACGTGACATCGACGCCATGATGAAAGTTGTGCGATTCGCGCACCCATAAATTTTGGAGAGTGAAACTACTGTACTTACCTATACTGTGCCCGAGTGCTCCCTGGGTGTCATGTCATCCTTGTTTAACATTTGGCAAACAATAAGGATAGAAGGATACCTGAGTGGTACTCGGGTGGGAATCTGAACATAGCCCTACATTGGTCGTATCGTAGCATCGTAAGCGTCGACTTCTAATGGGCCTTCTACAATAAGCCACAAGTCATAAATCGGAAGAAAGAAACTAAAAATTGACGACTGTGATTGGTCCATTTCTAGCTTATGACTTATGATTTGTGACTACGGCTTATTGTAGAAGGCCTATAATTGACACATCGGATTGGCTGTTGCAACAAATTTGTAACCTGCGACGCCTACGATACGACCAATGTAGAATGGGCTCAAAATTCAGCCAGTAGAGTTCAAATTTCGATTAGACCTGGCAGCTTTATTGGTTGAATTTTAGGATTTTGGGATTAAGACCTGAAGCATAAACCAGGCATAAAGCATTATGGGCCTTCTACAATAAGCCATTACTTAAGTTTTAAGTGTTAAATCATAAGAAATTTACCAATCGCAATCGAATGTGAGAAGAATAATCGACTGTGAATGGTCAATTTCTTGTGACTTAATACTTAAAACTTAGATAAATGGCATATTGTAGAAGGCCTATTAAGGATCATCTACAATAGGCATGTAATATACGTAACGTAACGTCCGTAATCAGTAATGGGCCTTCTACAATAAGCCGTAAGTCACAAATCATAAGTCATAAGCTAGAAATGGGTCAATCACAGTCGTCAATTTTTAGTTTCTTACTTCCGATTTACGACTTATGGCTTATTGTAGAAGGTCCATAAGGAAATCGTAACATTGAATTCGCTACCGGCTTTACGGTTTCTACTGTGATTGGCCAATTCGCTTACTGATTACGTTTTACGGCCTTACGTTTTTGTATATGCCATGTTAACCGCGTACCGCCTATTTCTTTTCCCTGATATTACATGGAGCGCGGTTTGCGGCACGGGCTAGTGACAAACTCACATTACTTCCGTTGCTATGCACTTTTTAATGGAATTAATTAATTGATTTAAACGCAATTATTAAGTAAATCTGTTAAAAAAATAAGAGCATCGATAAAGTGTACATCAAAAAATAAGTTAATATATTTAAAAAAATGCATACTAATGTGAGTTTGTCACTAGCCCGTGCCGCAAACCGCGCTCCATGTAATATCAGGGAAAAGAAATAGGCGGTACGCGGTACGTGGTTAACTATAACTATAGGCAGCTAGAGAACCGCGTACCGCGTAATAAATTATCTTAATTTCATAATTAATGATTATGATTTTGATGCATACTGCACCAATTTAGTAGAGCGTTCTTTAATACATCATTAAAATCAAATTAATTGAATAAAAAGTTACTAATTAATATGCGTATGAAATGCTCGGTGTAAAAGGATAAAAAAATCGTTTCTTATTTCTTATGCCCTCTAAAAAGGCCAGTATAGAGGCCGTATATTTATAATATATTTCTTTAATAAGAGTCTTTATATTTAAGAACATCTCACATGTTCTATTTTGAGATATTACGATAAAGAGCCGCACACACACATTAACACATATTAAGACAATCTTGAAATAAGAACAAATTATGAGTACCAACCAAAAATAGTTTATTGCATTCATATAACATTGCGAGACATGATACAATAGTTTATTACGATGAAATCTTTTATTTAACGAAGTCGAAAATTCAATAAAAAATGACATGTTATTATTACAGAAATGTTACTCGATACAACATTACAAAACAGCATTATCAGAGTCATTATTCTTATATATTTCTAAAAACTAAAGTCAATTAAGCAGAACGTTAAAAAGCACAAGCCAATTAACAATTAATTGAAAGAGAAAAGCTAGAAGGATGATACATATATATGTATATATAAAATGTATATTATATATTACATATAAAAAATATTATATTGTATATGTATATATATATATGTTAGACTCAGATTGAAACGCTCGCAGAGCGAAAAAATCGACCATATATATAGATATATATAATTCATATATATATATATATATGCATATATACGTTAGACTCAAAGATTGAAACGCTCGCAGAGCGAAAAAACCGACCACAACGTGTTATGGCTTCTGAGATCCAGCCGCAATACGAAATTCGTGTTGTGACTCAAAAACGCTTTTCAAAAATGCTTACAACGCGTTCTGGCATATTAATAGCGTTTTCTCTTGGCCGCATTTCTATCGCCCACCAATGCAACACTCAGACATTGGCTACGTTTAGTCAATGTAACCGTGCGCTTATAGCCCGCGAATAATTGTAAGACTCGTCGTTTCGCGTGGAAAGTCGAAACTTGTGCAACAGGGATGCGTTCAGAATCACCGGATGCAGCTAGATGTTGTTTTACCCTTGTTGTTTACGAATGATAAAGATAATACGACACCTGGGTGCACTCAGATGATTCTGAACGCAGCTTTATACAATCATTGAAGTCGATGACCCTTGGCTCATTAAGCTCTTTTTTTCACGTTGTGGCACTTTTAACTTAGCCAAAACGCGTATTGGTCGATTGTCAAGATAACACAATACGCATTTTCTTTTTTAATATGCCAGAACGCGTTGTAAGCGTTTTTGAAAGAGTCACGACACGAATTTTGCATTGTAGCTGGATAATTAATTAACGCATTGTGATCAGTTTTATCGCTCTGTGAGCGTTTTCGGCTTTGAGCCTGACATATACATACTACATATATATATATATATATGTGTATATATAACTAGTGTTTCTCTCTTTATCTTATTTTCTCTATATGTATATTATATTAGTTGTTAATTGTTGATGTTTCATCAAATAACTTGTACTTTTTTGCATTCTGTTTTTTTTTAGCTTAAATGTGCATTACTTAATAAAATGTTGAACTAAATTAAATTAAAAATATCAGTTTATATACATGCATATACGATTAATCATTTTTCAATAAAAAAGTAATCGTATATATGTATATAAACTGATATTTTTAATTTAATTTAGTTCAACATTCTATTAAGTAATTTCTTAATAGTAACTTAATAGTATCTAAAAAGTAACATTCTATTAAGTAATAAGTTTGTTACAAATGATTGTAACAAATACCTAAAAACAGTTTTATCCAAATATTCTAAAAAATTTTCTATTTGTCACATAAAATTCTTTTTAGACATTTTTATCAATCTGTATTAAACAAGTATATAGCACTTCTTAGTTATTTAGATTTTTTCAAAAATTTTTTTTTTATTTCTTCGTTTAAGTCCATAAAACTCTTCATCTTTATCATTTCCGTTTTGTATTCTTTGAAGAAATCGAAACAAAATTGCTCTAGCTGCAAATTATGTAGAATACGTATAATTAACAAAAATATATTGTATAATAAAATAAATACGTATAATAAGTAAATGAATAAATAAGTATGCAAAATAAAAATAAATTTTTTGTAGTTAATGAATTTTAATATTAAATGCAATATTGGAACGCCGGACAAGCATGCAGGAACACCTTACAAAGAAAAACTGCGTGTCTAACGAAATATTTAGACATAATTCGCGACCTTGCCATTCCTCCCCATGACATAAAAATATTTGAAAAAATATTTTACTCTGATCAAAACAAGAATAAAGAACATCCCAATTGATTAATATATCAATTCCATTATAAATTGGTACTTTCTTTTAGAAGACAGAAATCTGCTATTAATGAAATCTATTAATAAAAAAAAAGTGAGATTGCCAATTACTTCTTCATTATATTTTAGCATCGTATAAATGTAAGTAGAAAATAAATTTTCCGTCGTTGTGTCATCTTTTATCGCGTTACAGAGACTTTTCTTAAACCGCTCATCGCTAAATGCCTCAGCCAAATTGAAGAGTTCTGTAACGAAATGGTATCAGTTACAAATTGTAAGTAATTGTACGATCTCTATTTAAACTCAAACTCACTAAATTTCTCTTCCACTGTAGATACTTCAATTTTGCCAGTATATAAATATTTGAAATAAGCGTAATACATCTCATAGGAAAATTGATTAAGTATGATGACACTATAAGGAAAAGAGACACGTATAAAGAATCAAATATAAAATATTCTTAATAAAGATAACACGAGTTTTTAATAAATACTTACTTTTGATCTCCTTCAAGCTGTATAAATTGGTCTATGTCTTTGAAATATGAATTACGACATTGCAGTATTATCTTATGGACATAAATATACCTTCTTGTAACTTGTATAGCAAGATCGCTATGACTCTGTCAGAAGCAAACAAATGATTTGTTAAAAATAAATAAATATTACCTTATATAACAAAAAGACTTAAGACAGCGAATATTATATGAAGCATTGTATATGTATATTTTTAGACTAACTTAAAAAATCTATACAGGACAAGGATCAAAATTGGGCCACAGTAATTAATTTTGCAAGAAAGCACATAAAGAATTTTTATAAATGACTTGTCTGTGGCTTCTATCAAGTCATCATTTACACAAGTCCAAGAATTTCGAAAGCTTCTTGCTTGAATCAATTATATATATGAAATTTAAAAGCTTGGTACATACAATAGATTGTATACACAGAAATGAAACTTACAATCTCGTTAAACGATTTTGCAATATCGTTCAGTAATTTAAGCCGCTGGTCGCGATACAAGTTGTTTTTTACAGTAGTTGGTGGTTTGCCAGTCAGCGCATTACACATGTCAAATAAAGTCGTGTGGTCGCAGGGGGCAGGTTTACAAATTTTTTGTTCACAACAGTTGCCCCACACAGAAACAATATGTTTTTCTTCGGTTATGGCACAACTCACGTTCTTCATAGCAGCAACATCCAATATTTTTAAATCCTTCTTTGTTACTTGAACCTGTTAATTCCAAAATTTTCCACTTTATTTTTTATTTTATATTTCTTTTCTCACAATGATTATAATAACAAATTATTTACCCTTCTAGGACTAGGGTTGATTTCTAGAAAAGTAGAATCTAATTCTCCAAAAAGGTTGTGACCCCACCCATAAATGTATCCTTGAGCAGTTAGTGCGAGTGTGTGTGTATATCCACAAGTTATTTGTACTAAAATGTCAAAATCAAATATAGATTAGTCAACAGTGTAGTTACATCTATACGAATCTTTCATTTTCTTATAAATCATCTTTAGAAATGAGCTTACGGAATAAAATAATTACCTATTTCTTCGTTACTAATTTTAACTTGACGTGGTTTATCTATAAAATTGTTGTCATATGTAGAAATACCTAACTGACCATAACTATTTGCTCCCCAAGTATATACCCTTCCATCGTCAGTAAGTAATGCAAAGAAACTGTCACCACAACAAATAGAACGAACCTTTTCTGAAAATTGGGAATCGATCTGTCTCATCCAAGTCCCGTTATTATCAAGGGTTTGGAAATAGAACATCTAGATTGAATTAAATGACTTTTAATTTCTAAAACTAAATATCATTATAACGCGTATATAATAGTTCAATCGTTAACTTACTCTATCATCAACAGTTAAAATGATAAATGTTTGTTTGCTAACTGCAGCTTGTACAATACGTGTATGTCTCAAATCAAAAAGTTGTGAATAATATTCTACAATATTATTAAACTGCCTAATGTTCCCCCAGTGATATACCTTTCAAAAATAAAATTATTATTAATTCTACAATTCATTTTGTACATAAAATAAAAGATAATAAGAAATAAATTGATGCACTATTATATATATATATATTTTTTTTTTCATACTAATTTTTCTACAAAAAGAAATTTCTACAAATTCTAAAATTATCAGTTAATTAGGTTGATAAATTATTATAATTTTTCTTATACCCAACAACACACAATATATTTATAAAATATTTACAAAATATTTATAAATATTTATAAGAATAAGTAATGAAAAGGCTCAACATGTATAAAACAATATTTATAAGATTTTTCTTTAATATTTTGCAAATATTGTTATGGTCTTAAATTGCACAAATTATAAAAATTTATTACAAATATTATGAAATATTTATTATGTTGCAGTAAATGCTACACACACACACACGCGCGCACACACGCACAAAAGATATACACTTAATAAGATATTACAATCTAAGTAAAAAGTATTCATAACTAATATGAATACGAAGTCTATAATCTAGTAGCTGGATCTTAGTTGCTTATATTGTATAATTTCGCGTCAATTTATATATTAATATATGTACAGTTTTTCTAAACTACACGCCGAACAATGATCGGTTTTGAAACGCAACTCTGAAAAGTACTTATAGAAAAATATTTATTTATACCTATCATAAATATTACATAAAATATTTATTTTAATAATATTTTGAATAAAGCGCTTTATATAAAATATTTATATAACATTTACAAAAATGAATAGTAATAAATATTCTGTGCTATCTGGGCATTTATGTATAAAAATTATACAAAATATAATATTACAAAAAAAAGTATCACAGTATAAATATATAAAATATATATACAAATCCGTTCTTTCTGAGATTACTAATATATAATATATATAATAATATATATAATAATATATATAATAATCTCCACTATTCAGTACACAGACATTTTTATATGAAAATTTATTTGAATCCTAAGGTGATTTTTTTTCATTTCCAAATCTGCTTTATTTATTACGAAATAAAAATAATTTTTCTATAATACATATGCTATATGTACATATATAATATATATCCATAATAACTTTTAAATATTAAGAGAGCTTTAAGTTCAATGAAAAACCATCAGTATATATATATATAATATTACATATAATTAAATATTAAACACTTCTAGTATATTTCTGGGCTACCTCTCCTTCTTCTGTTAGCAAAAAAACCGATAAATCGTCGCCAATGAGTACCATCTTTAGATTTTTGTTGAACATGTAATCGATTTTTTCTCGGTCGTAACTAGAATTTATCGTACCGTGTTTCTGTATTGGATCATATGTGGTGCATGATTGCTCCGCAAGTCTTTAATAAAAAATAATATAATATAAATCTAACATAATAGTAAAATATAGTAAACAATCACACACACACACACACAAGAAAAATAATTAATTCATCTTGCTTTACGTGAAAAGCAACAATTGTCAGAATTTTACCTAAGAAATTACAAATTTATTTAATGTGTCTGTGTCCAGCAGACTGATGAAATCGCTCTTTGAGATTGGATATGATTGGATTCTTACAGAACCGATGAAAAACTAAAGGCAAGAGTCAAGCGGCTAACCTGCTCGCCGAACAAATGAACATATATGTATATAATCGGTTATTACTTATAGATTCAACCAATCATATTTGATCGCTCGGCAAGCATACCTAGCCGTTTTGTATATCTAGAACTTTAAATTACATAACAAAATCATGTAATTAAAACAAGTAAATTACATAACAAAAATTATTCCAAATTAGTACGTAATTTTTTAAAATCACACATGATACAAATAATTTTATCTATCAATATATACGATTTTATAATTACCGAATCTTAAATAATTAAATGATAGAAAAAAGGAAAGAAACATATGTCATCGTGTGACTTTTCAAATTACATGATTTAAAAAAATCTGATTTGGAATAATTTGTTACGTGATTTACATATTATATTTTAATTCTATGATTTCTTTATATGTAATTCTGTGGCGTGATTTTAGAGTGCTATTGATGTATCCTTTTAGATAATAAAAGGTGTTATGCTTTTGTTTTCAGTCAACACAAGTATCATTCCTTCTTCGATCGTTATTATCATCAAATGTCAAACACATGTTTGATTCGACTGAAAAACAGTCTATATCATATCTTTGTAAAAAAAAACAAAAGTCGAGTACTTAAATAAAGAAGTAGAAAAAGTATCAACTTACATACGTATACAAAATATAGGAATTTTCGAGAAGCGTCCATCGACAATATGTCCATGTCGACAACAATAAAAATTGAATCGAATCATTTTTTTTTTAAACATTTTTTTTTAATCGAAGAATTAAAAGTTTTGTTCATAAATTCCATCTATGAATTAATAAACTGACCCATTTAATACGATTTTAGAAATAGAGTTATTTTCCGTGCGGATGCCTTCTATTAATGTTACAAGGAAACACAAGTATATTGTTCTGTCTTTGTTACTCATAGAATGCAAAGAAAAATAGAACGATATTTGTATTAATTTGTATCACTAAATGGAAGGCAATATTTATAATTCCGACGACTTTCTTTATATATTAATTAAGTTCTGAATATTGACATTTTGATTCTTTGTTTAATTTTAACGTGCGGTCGCCATTATACCTTCAATTTATTCGGCAGAAGCACGTATTATGCTTAAAAAAAAAAAGATAGGAAAGACTGAAAGAAAAACAAAGAAAAGATGGCATTTTAAACTTACTCTTGTTGATAGTTTGGATCATTATTTCTGTTCAGATTCTCGCCTAATGTCTCCATAACAATAATTATATTATTTATACGATTACGATAATCTCAGCTAATAGTGTAGCGAATAATATTGTAATGCACTGCAAGATTTTGAATACTTTGAAGAAAAAAAAGTTGCACGATTTTGATTTTCAAGTATACTTCTATAACTCCACTATATCTCTTAATGCCTAGATGAACAATAACGAAGAACGGAAGTTTATTGTAAGATCAAACATTACGATTAATTCGGGCGTCTCATGAGCAGAAATATTTTTTATAGTATAAATTTACGAAGAAGCTAAACAACGAAACTAATCATAATTCCGCAATTATTTCACTTTCTTTTCTACGATTGTGATTGGTCCTCGCCAATTTTCTCCCATGAGACACCAGCGCCACAGTATCCAGCGCCATATCATGCTATATCTAGCTATAGTATAGTTAGTTACTACGTACCTGTACATACCGCTTATTTCTTTTCCCTGGGTATCGATCACGAAATTTTTTCCCTAAGATGAAAAGTGAAAAGTAAAAAATTTCTCCATTAACTTCAATGGTAAAAATTTTCGCTTTTCACTTTTCATCCTAGGGAAAGGTCGATTATTTTTCTCGCATTCAACTATGATCAATTTCTTACGGCTTTATGCCCGTGTCACACTACGGATTGTGGACGAGGATTGGATTGGGATTGCGGATCGTCGGATTTGGATTCTTCGTTCACACTACGGACTACGGATTCAATTTGCAACATATGCTGTATCGCAAATATCGTGTCGTCAATACAGTGTCGTCGACGTTTACTGTGTATAGGGTGGCTAACCATTTCGAATTTTGTGGGACGTCCCGATTTTTTAATTCTCTATAAACACGTTTCGAAAGGACCTAGGTTACACGCCGTCGACGTCGATGCTTATTCATCCATCATAAATGGGTCACGTGACCAAACTCGATGTTTTATTGGCTTGGATCACGATTACGGATCACAAAAATAGAGAGCCGTCTATTCTGCAATCTACAATCCGGATCCGAAACTGCCTTGTCTTGATTGGCTGAATTCCGATCCGTGATCCGCAATCCCAATCCGATCCGCGTTCACAATCCGTAGTGTGACACGGGCTTTACGGCTTAGGGCCTCTTAAAGCGAGGTTGTGGACCCAGCTTTAAGCGGGGAGCACAGACTTTTGCATAACGCATAATACATATACATAAAGAATTTGATTGGTCCATTGACTCATGTATAAGGAAATGGGTCAATGAAATTCCTTATGCACATGCTTTATGCATTATGCAAAAGGCTGTGCTCCCCGCTTAAATTACCTTCAGCTCTCAGAGTCATAAAAATTTATTTAGAGTTGACGGTCTGGTATCTTGTCAATGTATTTACGACCTTTGTAGTCTGGTTCCGGTCTAATCTTTTTTGGTTCGTGGTTTTATGCAATTTTATGTGATTTTATGCTGGGCTCCATTGGGCTGCATTGGGCTCAGGAAGTATTAATTGCATATTGCAAGGAATAGTAAGTGAACAACTGCAATTTAAACATCGCGATCGCAGTTGCAATTATTCGTGTTTGTAATTCAATTGTATTTACTTAAAGGTATACATGGAAGTACGCAAGTGATCTTTTATCATTGCTAAATTTCATGTCACATGTGAAACATGTCGCGACACCGAGACGTTCGTTCTATGAATTACTCTGATGGTAAGTAACTACACTTGTGTTGTGAATCACATTATCTTGCCAAGACTTTATCTTTATGATTTTAAATTTCAATCTTTCATGATACACATTTTGATGACGGCAATCCTCCTTTTTGTTACTATTAAACTATTTTAAAAAATACTTATAGAGTACAGCAATGTAACCTTTAATCATACTTTTACCAACTTTTACCTTTAATTAAACGTTTTGGGCCTTCTACATTAAACCATTACTTAAGTTTTAAGTGTTAAATCATAAGAAATTTACCAATCACGATAGAATGTGAGAAGAATAATCGACTGTGAGTGGTCAATTTCTTATGACTTAATACTTAAAACTTAGGTAATGGCTTATTGTAGAAGGCCTATTTCTGTTTAATTAAATTGCGTTCCAAAAATAAAAATACATTAATTTTTTTATTTAGAATATGATGGCTATGATGACGTATATGGACATTCAATGGAGGACGATTATTGCGTATCACCTAGTGGTATGTGTTTTACAGATCCTTCTATGATTTCTAATGAAATATAATAAAAAAATTATTAATTGTAAATATAATGATATATACACAGTGGAGCAATTTTTATTTGATCGAAGCAAGCAACAAAATATTGCTTCATTCATCACTGAACCTGATATAGTAGAAGATAATGAAGATATTGATGAGTCTTCACCATCGTCCAAAGAAGAAAGCTTTAATCTTTCTGAATTGGAAAAGGCAAAATTAATATCTTGTTTGGAAATAATTAGAAACGTCATAGGTGACACAGTATCTGATTCTAAATTGAAAGACAAAATCATTCTGTCAAATTTTGATGCAAATATAGCACTTGATTCTATTTTAAAGGAGTCTTCGCCGAAAGAAGTTACTGGTATGCTTATTCTGTCATAATGGATATTAAAAATGAAATATTAGAATATGATATTGAAATAAAACAAATCTTGAAATACATTTACAGATTCTATGGAGAATAAGAAACAATTGGAGCGACATCCAGGTATGTGTTGCATAAGATTTTATTTTATATGTCTCTAACATTATATTGTAGCTGATTATTTGTTTAATTTGGATCTATTAATGACCTTGCTTTTGTTTCTTTTTTTTTCATGTTCTTTGTGTTGGACTTCATCGGTAAGGTAAGGTGTTTCAGTTGATAAATCTAGTACACACATGCTCACAATACCTAGATTTTCTTTTAAAAAACAACATAATTTATCTAAAGATTCTACTTTGACTATATGTCAACCGAATAATATAGATAATTCAAAAGATATAGATAATCACTTAAAAACTTTTTCGTTAGCTGAAATTGTTTCCCATGACACAGAATCTATACATTCAAATAGTACAAAAATAAAAACTTCACAAAATGACACAAATGCTAAACCTTTTAGTTCTTTAGCTGCTTTAACTGCAGACTATTTACAAAAATCTAATTTAGCTAATAATACAGGATTTCAAGATAGACATCAGTCACCAATCTCACAATTTGTTATTCCAAAACTATCAATTAAGAAAAATGATAATGAAGAAGCAAAAAATATACATTTACCAAAATTTCATGACAATGAAAATAGTAAAAGACAGCTATTATCTACAAATATTTTGGACAAAGATGAAATCGATTTACTTCAAAACGATTTTTCAAATATAGGCATTTTCCAAAAAAGAAATACTGTGACAGATAAGTCAGAAAGGCAACTTAAAAATCCAATATCTGATGATTGGGTAGATTTGAGTGCTGCTTTAAAGGAAGTAG